ATGTGATAGTGTGGCCTTGCTTTATGCAGGCAGTTCGATCGATTAATGTAATGTATATGGAAGTACGATGTTCAAATAAACTAGAGAGTGGGTGGGTGCAAGTTTAGTGAGAGATATAGGCCTACAAATATTGCTTTTTATGCGTAAGATTTTGAACCTTGAGCGTGAGAGCTTGTGAGTTAAGTTATAAGACCTCGAATGAGAAGTGCATGAGATTAAAGCAAATGATATAGAAAAATAATTTGTAAAAAACAATATTATATTGGATATCAATTTGATTTTCTACAGGTATGTCGATGTTGTGATATAACTAGTAACCAATCTGTCAATGTTTTACTACATACCTGTCGAGACCACACGGAGAAACTGTTACATGGGGTTGCACGAACTACCAAAGTCAGTGTGCCTGCAACCTGTGGCTGCACGCGCTGCAGTAGTAGCACAGTCAACGCCATTACATCTTGATAATTTCACGCGAGTATAAAATTGCGACTATTTAAACGTATCGTGTTAGGCCATCTGAATATTGTCGCTCACAGATTTGCTTTGATTTTGGTAGAGATACAGCCAGAATTGTGGTGGATATTTATTTTCATGAGATAACTCCAGTGGCGGCTCCAGCGTGGATCCATGGTGGCAGAGAACCCACTCGGGGGCAACCTGGGACCTCCGTGGGGAAGAAGTAAATCATTTCGTTAGGAACACTGCTTTGACAAGGCATTTTTACCGTCTGCCATTTCCGGGAATCTATAGGTGCCTGTTCTTAAAATTTTCTGTAAACCTATGGATGTACGGGGCTTCGGAGGTAGGTCTGTCCCCTTTGCCAGGGACCTTGGGCCTTTTGTTGGGGACTTAGGCCTTGCCCTCTTTGTGGGAGTTTTTGACGCCGCCACTGGTCAAACATGGTTAATTCTGACATTGACATCAACCTAAAAACGTATGAAAACTCAACCGCGAAGACGAATTGACTAACACACATAAAAGAAACTATAAAAAAAATGATTATAAGCATGGAGGAAAAGATTTAGAGGTCTATATTTGTTTTTCTACAAGATAACACACCACCTCGACTTGCTAAGTTTGGTATAAATTTTTACCACCCGGACGAATAATTTCTGCCAACGTTCAAACTTTACCGATATCATAAATTTGTTTTTTAAATTGAAAAAAAAGTCATAATGATTTCAAATAATAAATGTTTATCAAATGTTGTTTACAACTGTTGATTCCTGTACTTTGCTTACAAACTACTGCAATGTAATGAAGATGATGTATTGCACTAGCGAAATGTTCAACGAAGGACCATGATAACATGGTGTAACCTAAGGATCATTGCCTTAATCTATGCTAAATTAGTGTATTTACTGATAAACATAATATTATGTTGTAGCAACTACTTCACCACAATAGGTGGCGCTAAATATATTTTTTAAAGCCGGTTACAAGTATACTGTACCTGGATCAGAAATGGATAAAATTAACAGACGTCTGCCATCAAATTAATTTCAATATAAAATGTGAATTCAGCTTAATACTTCTAGATAAAGAAGTAATTATTATACAAAGTGCCTTGTGAAATGCACAGCCAGGTTTTCGACCCCGACTGCAAGATGTAAGTCCGCTTTGTACCAATCGTACCGCAGAAATGAACCACTAGGCCTACTCTTAAATTCCCATTTGAATGAATGATATCTGATGGGGGCTCAGAGAGAAAAATAACCACAAATACGTTAAAGTATTTCGTTTGTATTTGTAACTAAGCTTTTTAATTGGATCCAATGTGATGAGCAGAACTTGACTTGCCATCAGTTTCAGTTTTTCTTTCTTCTATACTTTCCAAAGAAATGGGGGGGGGGGAACGGGGGACCCCGCCCCCTCCCCCTCTAAATCCGGCCCAGAATCTGTCCATTAAGTAGGCCTATGTAAATTACCAATGCGACAGCACAGATTTGAACTCCGGAACTTATTTGAAACCCGAGAAGGTAACTGTTAGTGTACAAGCCTGAAAGATAGAAACATGTATTTGAATGAATTGTGAAATTTATCGCATGATGGTGGTGGTGGTGATGATTATGGTGTTGATGATGGTGACGATGATATTGTCGATGGTGAAGATTGTTTATTAGATTTTTCTCCATGATGATAATAATAGCAACAGCAAAATATATAATAATAAAAATAAATGACAATTAAAATAGCCTAACAATAATCATGGTGTTAAAATCATTATGATGCTGATGACGATTGTAATGATGTTGTTATGATGATTATGATAACGATGACGACAATGATGAAGCTGACGCGGAAGTGCATGGCTTAAATTATTATTCGAATTATGGGAAATAAAACATTCTTACCTACGATTGCGGTGGCTATTACTGCTAGTCCATCTGAGAAAATAATCCACGAAAGTGCATAATCCCTGAAGCTCTTATTAACAAACGCCGGTGCCAAACACAACATTGAGTAGAAATGTATTCCAAATGCGAACCCGTGCAGAATAGATCCGACGTAAAACATAGATAACCTTCGGCCAAAAGTAATGAAAAAACACGAACAGAACTCAGATACCTGTCCAATAGCATGCAATCTTACTGTACAAGGAACGTCAATTTTACCATGAAAAAATATAGCTAGTCTAATCAGAATACATGGAATAACCGGCAGGGCTATCAGCGTACTTGAGTCAAAAGCTGTAATGCCATTTTCTACAGCATAAGGAACCATAAACAAGCAATAGGCCGTGTGGTAAAAGCCATTGCATACTGCATTTAGAAATAATGCGATCAACTGAGAGTTTCCTTTGAAGGCATGCAGGCTTTTAATGGCTCCTTTTAAAAATGCATTTCCATATACAATGAAATTATGTTGCCCGAGTTCTTCTAATGTATCTTTTGGATCTGCTTTAGTTTTACCAATTTTTATATCCAGAAGTAAAGAAAATACAGGTATATGCAGGTGAACTGCAGCTAATATAACCACGGCTCCCCTCCACCCGTAGTGTTCCAGCAGTATCTATATAGATTAAAAAAAAAAAAAAAAGAAAGAATGTAGACTCGTATTGTTTACAAATGTTACGATTATTATTAGGCTATCTTGTCATTATAATTTCACCATCAGTATCATAATCTGATTCTCGATTGATTGATTGATTGAATGTCTAACTGATTGAATAATTGATTGATTTATTAGTTGGTTGGTTGGTTGATTGATTGATTGATTGATTCATTCATTCATTGATCGATCGAATGTATTGATTGATGTATAACTGATGTATCTTCTCACCTGTATCAAGGGAGCAGTTGCATTTGTCGAAATTGATGCAATAAGCAAGACGACGTTCACCTGAGAGAAATTACCAGTGTAAACCTTCTGAACTACCACAACGCTTGACGTATATAATATGCCAATACAAACACCTATAAAATTGAATTAAAATCACAATTACTAAAACAAATCGATACAATTCAATTCAGATTTATTACATGCCTGAGAGCTACATATTTGCGTAATCAAAATATGTTGTAGTAACAAAAAATTATATATAGGCCTACTATGTTAAAACTAGGGAAGTCAGTTCATAGAGTGCATACCGGTACCACCGCCTGTACCTGGATACCGAACAATGTATACGCAGGCCGTGTATTTTGTATAAGATAGTATAATACATACTCCAAGTATCGAAATGCACGCCATCGTGTCGGGATTCAGTATTTCGACATTAATTATGTCATCATCAGGCCGTGTATGTTGCGATTCCATTGTTTTCTTTTATGCTCGAGGGTACCGTAGTTAAAGAGGGGAAAATCGAATTTCCATGACCTTGTCCTTTAACATTTTAGTTCCCAAAAGTTAATCATCTCTTTTTCAGATTATTACCATTCCACTAAATTTTATGATGATCCAATCCGCTTTTGCGTAATCTTGCTACAACGGTCAGACAGACAGACAAACAAACAAACAAACAAACAGACAAACAGTCAGATAAACAGGTCTGAATAAATAGTCTCCTTGGCGGGGAAGGTAATTGATCGTGGTCTAAAGAAACGGGAGTTGAATGCTGTGATGTTTCATGATTTCGTTTTAAATGAGGGCATTCTTTTTGGTTGTGTTTTAGAAGCACGAAGACTAAGTGAACAATAGAAGATAAAACGCGAGAAATGCAAATACATGACCTATGTAAAATGTCGGTTGTTGCGTAGGGTTAGTGACTGAAGGAAATGAATGAAGAGGGCGTTTGAAGGATTGAAGAAAGTCACAGAGATATAAACGAAATAATGCTAGCTCTTGGTTAAGGTGATTTTGTGGAACTCAAAGATAACACAAGATCATTATACCCTCTGGTAGTCCTAATAGGAGGGACTACTTCGTTTATTAAGTATAACAGAATCCTAATAGGCTTATAAGGAAAAAAAAATTATGCCTATATTTGTCGTAGGAAGTCAATACGAATGATAATCTAATTCTCGGGCGTAACCCTAAAGCCATGGTTTTCATAAAAGCACTACACTGCTGCGTAACTCTTCCGCGATGCAATAGGAAGGCTGCGCCGATTCGACTGACCAGTCAGCGGTAGTTGAAAACTGTTTGCGATAGCGTGTATGGATTTTATGAAAACCAGGCTTATGAAAAGAAAAGGCAAAAAAACCCCCAAAAACATTAGTGTTACCTTGCAAGCACATCGCTAAAGCTAAGGTAAATGTGCTCCGAGCAACAGACATCATGCACAGTGTTCCAAATGACGTTAATCCTGTTATCGTCCCTAATTTCCTCATTCCAATTCTTCTTAAAAGTACAGCAGAAAGGGGACCTGTTATTCGACATAGATGTACAAAAACATTATTGTAAGTTAATCATGACGTCAACAAAAATTTACATCCAACGTTCTGGTTCTTTTCTGGATTGAAGAGTGTCCCGAGCCTGTACTATATAGGCTGGCGTAACCAAATAAAAATATGCGCCATATAATTGCTAATTTATTCAATAACATGACTATTACAATTGTTGTCACATTAAGTAATCAACGAAGTTCTTGAAGAATAAACTTACCACTCCCTGCTACTAACGCCAGTTGGATTCCTCCCCAGAATGACACGAAGCCATCGGTACATTTGAGGTCTTCTGCAACAGCCTGAGTGATAATACCTGTCATTACATATGTTAAACCATCAGCAAAACAATTTACAATCGCACAGATCATACAAAGCACTTTCGTTCGTGTAGGCCAAAAAAATGATCCTCGTACATGATTCAAGTTCATGTTTATGAAAACTAAAGAATCAAAACAGTGCAGAAGGTCCTTAGCTTTAATGTACTTGGATTGGATTTGATTACTTGCCGGACTACTTCGAAAAAAACACAAGTCCAAAGATTTATTTCCAGTGGGTTATTCAGTTGCAATGACACCAAATCCACTGAATAAAAATAGGCCCTAATCCTCTATTAAACGAATGTCCCTTTATTGAAAAGTTCTGTAGTAGGCTACAAACTTTTGTAGCCGATAACAATGTTACCAACTTGTTGCTGACCTGGGCCACCAAGATTATTCCAGGATGTCGAGATCTATGTTATATTTTAGCCACAAAAATTCAGAATAATTCAGTCAGGTCACTAAACGTTTGGCAAAGCAACAGCCTAGGTCTACATTAATGCGAGCTTCATAAACGCACGAGTTAAACATTAATAGAAACAACCAGTGATTGTGTTTGAACCTAAGTTGTTCAAGTACGGTAGTTGTTATAGTAGCAGTAAGAATACATAACGTGTTTCATTTTAGCGGAACATAAGATATTTGTTTTAGATATCTCATGACATATTGATCATAAAAAATCATGTGAAAAAACAAACAATATTATCAATGAAAAAAACCCCTAAAATATAAAACTTGTTATCCATAAGACCCGAGTATTAAAAACACCACGGATTTATTTGTACCATTCTAATTCTCTTCCCGAGGAATATGGTCCGGTTAATTATCAATTAAAATACGAGTTGTGTTTGTAACTCATGAACATTTTTTTTATTTATTCATTTTTAAAAATTTATTTATTCGGTATAAAACGTTTAAAATGCAACTTGCAATGTCTTAAGGTTACAAAAAAAATATGCCTACCATACAGACAACAGACATAAAACAAGCAAAATACAAGGCCTACAATAAAAATATAAGCGCACAGTAAATTATTGGCAGAAATAACTAATTATAAAAAAAACAGTACTGTGTTTACAACAGTACTGTGTTTACAATCAAATATGTATTATTATATTATATATTACAATGCAAATTGATTATTAATAAATATAAAAAAAATCATTATACAAAAAAAAACCACACAATTCATTAAAATGGTTAATATGAATTAAAGTTAATGTGACCTATACATCAAAATATCCATCGCAATTGAGTAGGGCAAATTCATATTCTACCACATAAATCAAACTTGCAGTTCTTTCTGCCGCCCTCTACAATATTTAATAAGTTCAAACGATCCAATTAGTAGACTCCAAGGTAAAGTGCTGGTTCATAAAGCAAATAAAATATTGAATTGAATTGAATTGGGAATCAAATTACACATGTCATCATACCATGGATTAATAGGTCCATGATCATACTCTTTATAATTATCATCATTTTTATCTTCGTCATCATTATTATTTACATTTTTATCATCATTATCCTCATAAAAAGAACATCATTTTTAGAAGGTTTATTTTTAAAAATACTTAAAATGATAAAAGTTACAAGTTTTTTTTTGTTTTTTTTGCAATTATAATATAATGTCCTTTCTAAATCTCATATAACGTTTGTTAAATCATGGAGGAAAGAAAAAACGGAGGACATCGACGCAAAAGTGTCAAGACAGTTGAAATTATCGGTTTGCCGCCCTCTATAGTCATTATCAGTGATTGGTGTGACCAGGGAGTTGTCATAGTGACAACTTCCTGGTGTGACTATATTAGTGTATTTTTAAAAAAAATTCAAAATAACAATTAAATTAAAATCCTTTGATGTGTCTGGTATGTGTTTTTTTTTCTTACCACAAAAAAATGTATAAAAAGAATGTGTGAAATTTCCGGTATGATAGACGAAAAAGAAGCAGACTTCTTCTCTACAAACATCACCATAGCATAGGCCCGGGCCTACATACTCTTCATTTGCATTAACAGCCCGTGGTTCTTCTCTTACCCCTCTTTACCATGTTCAACAATACAAGTGTATACATTTAAACAAAGTCTCCAACTATACAATGCAACAGGAAAAAACACTGATCTTCGTTGATGAGAAGATTGTTTGTATTCATATTCAATTTTAGATAAAATTCTTCTTCTTCTTCCAATACCACCACCAGGTCTCCTGTGATCGTATGGCCGAAAATATAGTTAAAAACTGTGCGTGTGCTTCCACAGCACATGGACATGGATCTAATTCTTTAGTTTTTTTTCTATTCATCCAATAATGATTTGTTTAACAATTAATTCACGTGATACTGAACTCGTGAATACACGTGAATAAAGCCCAACTTCTACATAATAGCTACAATACGAAATCGGTTTTCAATTGTTTTGATTACCTTATTTCATTGGTTGCGTTTGTAAGTATGACCATAGTATGACCACTCCACAATTTGTGAGTGCTGCCATAAAAATCAAAACAGCTGTGACAAGATTTAAGACTCAATTTAACCTGGTTAATCCTAGGCACAATCTAAGCAGCTGGGTTAACTTGACCAATACAATGTTTCCCATCCCAGTTCGTACTGGATTTTAATATTTAGGTTAAGGTAAAGTCCTGCTAAGTCTAGTCTAATTCAATCACGAAAGTTGGTGCAGTGTCACATACAGTAGAAATTTCCAAGTCCCTCGTTGTCAGATCAGAACAAAAAACAAAATCAGATTATTACAACAATTGGGCTTTCCGTAAATTGAGTTTATTTGATATCTCAATTGCATAGAATGTCATCCACAAAATGTTCTTATCTGCATAATATTTATAGATTTCTTTAAAAATGTGTTAACAATGACATGTACATGTGTAGTGCCCTTTACTGTTTAAATTTGCACTCACAAGAGCACAGTAAAAGTAAATATTTTGTAACATTTATATTTCAAGGTTTGTCCAATGCTTATGAACTGAATATAGTCTAGAATAATGTAAATTAAGGTAAATACAGTTATATAATCATTACATTTCACTATTTATGTGACAATATAATTATCTTAATGGTACATTTATCATAAATGATATCTTAAATTAACAAGCACAGAATAATAAACATTAACTGATAAATGAAACTTTAAGAAAAAAGAGAACAAAATGTCACTTTAGTTTTAATCTTGAATAAAATATTTATCATTGGAAATTGCTGTGTTGCCTGCACAACTGCCCATAAAACAAAAGAGATCAGGTCTATTACTTTTGTCTTCAGAACTTTTAAAATCTTACTGTTTTCCCATCAAAGTATACATGTTTTATTAAAAATTCTACCATCAAAAATTCTGAAATATAGAGTTTCATAAATGAATAATCCAGTAAGCTTTTTTTCCCTTTAAGGTAACACAACTTTAGTTGCATGTAAACATAATTGTAGGAGAGTTTGTTAAAGCAACTTTTCTCGAGTTGTTAAGAATAGTAGCATAAACCTTCTGGATTAAAAACATTTTGAATGTCACCAAGTCAATATACTGTAGATCTGAGGTTACAAGCGAAAGCTTATTATAAACACACAGACAGAGATGGATGTGAGCTAACAAAATATGAAGTGAGCCGCTATAAAGCCAGCAGGCACTATTACTGTATGTTATTATGCCACGCTGGTTTACGATAATCTATAATGGTCAGGAAACTTGGTAATCAGATGATAATTGATTATCTCTGCAAATGCTAAAATGAGGTAAAATATAATAATTTAATAATAACAATAACGTATATAACTTATATTTGTCAGGTATTTCGTACTATTAGTGATGATGCTTACAATATCTGGAATACTGTTGATAAATAAAAGAGGAAAACTATATGAATCAAAATAATACACAAAATAACCAATAATAACAGCAACAATAATAATGATAATAGGAGTGATGTTTTGTTCTGCCTGACGTGTTCCCGTACTGAATTCTCAGTACGTTCCCAAATACATACGAAAAAATTTGGGTTCTGTAGGATCAAACCCACGACCTCTAGATAACTAGCCTGGTGCCATACTTTTCACAAGTGTTTGGGAGCGTACTGAGTATTCGGTACAATAACATGTCAGGTAGACAAAAACATAACTCCTATTATATTTTCCTGACACAAACTCACATCGATACAGATAATGATAATAATAATAAGATGACAAATCAACCAAAATATTAATAATGATGATTGCACCAATGGTGATTAAATTTGCTCTATCTTTTCCTGAACCCCAAATCAACATTGTCTACATTTTAATTGTAAGATAATACCAATTCATTGTTCAACCTACTTCTGCATGACTCTTACACAGATGGATCTAATAAAACTCAGAATTTCAATATATCAAGTAAACCTTGTACGGTATAAACGCTAGAATTAAATCCAACGGAGATTTTATTATAAATTATAAGAATATAAAGAATACCAACTAGGAGACGGAGTGGAGACATCGCCAAATCATGGCAGTATTGTGAATCTGTATTTAAAAGTGTCAGCGCACATTTTTGTTTAAACAAAAGTAAAAGAAACTTCTACACTCAAAAAGTTTTAATTCAGGCTCTATCAAACATTCAAATAGGTTATCTGAATTGTTCAAATTTTTTTTTTTGAGGATCACAACATACTTTTGTTCTTATAAAAGATAAGTAAGCTTAATTATTCCCTACTTGAACAAGATGATATACTGAACTTTGAAAGATACTCGTAAAACTTAATGAGCATTAATCGTTCCTGTATTATCATTATTATTATCGTTCTGAAATATTTTTTTGTGATTACTGAGTTTTAGTGAATTAAATTAGAGGCGACAGTTTGTGCATAACAACACTCATTGCGTAATATAGATATTGATTGATTGATCATATATAATCCAGCCAGAATGCTCATTGACAAATTGATATATTCATATTTGTTATAGCTGTTGTTTACAATTGCTTCCATAAATAATACAATTGAAAAACAACTGTATAAATTAAAGAAATACATGAAATTCTAAATGTGTATACTAACTTTAATTGATGATGACAAACATTTCTGAATGGTAGTTTCAATTCAGATAGAACAATAAAAAATTGTTTGAAAAATAATTTAATATTAGTTTAGACTATAATAAGGATGACATGTTTGCCTAACGTGACATGTTAAACATGGTTTCCATACAATCGCTATGCACTATCGCCAACAGCTTTTGGTGATTGTTTGGTTGTATCGGGGAGCCTGCTACGCTAGCGCAATGACTGCAGTAAAAAACTGTAGCAATTTTAAAGGAACCCGGCTTTATCGCACCGAATACCTATTGTAATATCTCAAAATTTAAGTTATCTTGAGTTGGATTGCACCCATGACTTTCAGAGATATTAATCTGGTATCAAACCACTAGACCATAGACTCTACACTATGTTATGAAAATACTATACAGTAGTAGAATCTTTAAGTTTAATTTATTATGTAATTGTTTTTGGTGAAGGGGCTGGAATATTTTCTTACTATTTTCCAGCTCTGCGTACAACAAATATGTATTAGAAAATAAAGATGGTAGAGTACTGTGTACATCTTCCTTACATGTCTACTAAAATAATTAACCTTGCAACAATTTCAAACCTGTCGCAAGAAAATGGATGTGCTGGTTCTCTAACTTCAAAAACATACGAGAGTGTTTGTAAGTGACAACATAACTAATGGTCTCTTCCTACTTAGTTTGGAGATAAATGGCGAGTATGTATTTGTTGAAGTCTACAGTTTACTGTATTATAATTTAATAAATATATATTTGATATAGAATGAAATTACCTAAGCAAACATCTGAAATTATTGCTACCAAATATCAATTTCATATTTACAGGATTTACAGTTTTGGTGTTTAAAATTTGATAATACATTTTTCTAGTGTTCTCTCAATTAATTTGTACAGTTTTTTTTTTTATTACTAAATTGGAACCAGAAAACCAAAATGCAAATTTAAAATGTGGGTCCAATGTACGCACATACTGTAATTGTACATTAAATTCTATGGTCAGTAAACAAGTTTGGATACCGACTCTAGGCATTCTAGTATAATGCTGCATCACAACCAATGAGAGAATGAAAAACCGAGAATGTTTACTTTCGCAACATAACAACACATGGGATTATAATTTCAAATTGTAAAAATTAGAATACTTCTATCATTTTTAACACTAACTTTCAACATGGTCAAACTCATTTTTAAATTTCATCATCTTATAATTGATATTAGAAAGTTAATTAGAACTTTCAATTTCAAAGTCTATTTAGAATCAGTTTGGTAAAACAATATATATATTTTTACTATTTGAGGAATTAAATACAAAGATTTTAAATATTTAATCTAAAGGTGTGTCCATTTTCTTTTAATTACTTAAAATTCTAATAATAAACTCTTCAACAACAAAATCTTGTATTGTCTTATATTTTGTTATTGTCTATCTAATAGACCATTAAATTGTATTTTGTTATATTGTATACTTAGCAGATGGCTGTAGTGATATATTTGCTTAAGCCTATTGCACACGAGAGCAGTTTGCTCAGCAAAAGGCCTCTTGTCACACTTATTCAACGTGTGAACAAGATTTTAGAAAGAATTCTGCCTCGTGAGACAGTGAGCAAAGTATTGTTTTTTTTATATTTGTCTCTTGAGGCATAATGCTCACCACTTGCTCTTACTTTGAGCAAACTGCTCATGTGTAGTCGACACTACTGCTTGACTGTCCAATAATAAACACTCATTGAATCGGCCTTTCTAGGCTAGAGGTGGGGCTATCCACTATATGACAATCATCGACAATATATAAACCTTTTTTCTCATTGTATGCGGGCAAGCAAACCGTTCAGAAAACTGTCTTGAGAAAACACTTGCCCGGCAGACTACTTTTGTGTACGGTACACAGTGTTTGTCTAGAAGACTACCAGCCAGTTTTAATGTTTTTATTGACTAGCAGACAACCTGCTCCTGTTTGCGCTGCTCCATTTTGAATCGCTTTGGTTCTGTCAAATCTTGCGGAATATTCTCCTTATTGATCGACAAGGTTCTGCGTATACCCTGAGGACTATGTGGCATCTGGTGCTTGTCAAAGGGCTCCTCCAACCTTTCTAACCGCGAATCTATCGTTTGTGTAACCTCCATTTTTGTGTCCTCTGTTTCAATGTGCTCCGAAAATGACTCCTCCATTTTTGTCTCTTCGTTTAGTTCTTTCTCTTCTCCACAAGTTGAACACTGTCGTATCACTGTAGGTATTAAGGTTTGAACACTACTTTCATACATTTGCTTGTCCATGTCTGTATTTGTTGACTCCAACCTACAGTGGTGGTTGTGCGTTTTATCTTTGCATTCAAGTTCATTGGAGTTGACCTCAGACACTTGTTCGTTTGAACTCCCAATTGAGACTTGTAGCCATGGATGGTTAAGGCACTCCTTAGATGTGTATCGTTCACTAGAAAAACAAAAGGTTAAAGAAGTTCATAAATATATTTTAATCACAAATTAATCTACCAGTATAAAACAAAGTATAATATTTAATGTCAATCAATTACTGTAGTAAGTTGGTAATTACGTTCTGGTAGAGATAATGGTAGGCTCAGGATAAGTATTACTTATAGTTGTGTTACAAACGTTATTGCAAGTTAATTTTATTAGCATAAAAGTGATGGTGTTGTTTTTATAAATATTTTGTTGTTTCATTATTATTTTTCAGACTGGTTAATATTACAAATATTATTTATTAGTAAGAGGCTGATAATTTTTATGATTGTTAATTTGATGATAGATGTGAAGGGATAAAAGAAGAATGAACATGAATCCGGCTCCAACTATAATTTTTAAGTGCAAAGTCAACTAATCAAGATCCTTAATAACAAGAATTATTTTATTTTAAAGAAGTGATTTATTAAAATTGTACATGGAAAGAAACATTAATAAATTGTGTTGCTCAATAATAAAAATGCAGCAATGCATTTAATAAAAATAATCAATTTCATGTGGTAAAATAATCAATGTCGTGTGGTATAAATTGATTATTTTTTATTAAATTGTGTTTCCATTTGAAAGCATAAAATTATAAATAATAGTGATGTGTATTACCTAAGAATTCAACAAACAAAATTATATTTTCTCTAATTCCAAAAATGACTATGATAACCTAATACAACATTGTATACGCATCGACTAAAACTGACCTAATGCGTAGGACTTAAAGATTTACGACACTGACTGCTGAAATCAGGTCTACGTCGAGGTCTGCGTCGGAAATCATTAAAGCGGAAGATATTTCGGGGGTGAAAGGTGAAGGATTAATTATAGCAATTTATCTCAGCTGCAATGACAGAGCTTTGTAGATTCATGCATCAGATAGTTGTTGACTAGTTCTTACGGTTCATTCCTATTTACCAAGACTCTCCAACAAATATAATTGTAATTTCGATACATTCTCTGCTTACATAGCATGAAAATAATGATATGACCCACGCATGCTACAGCACCCCCAAGTTATTTGTCAACAGGCAGATGTTGCCAATTCTTTGTCTTGTTTACAAGTCAATTGCGTTGTAGAAAAGCCTCCCTTTCTCAGTGATTGATACACACTACTAACGTGCGAATTAAGGAGATAAAACGTGAGCATCACTAGGCGCCAAATTACTAGATAAATAAGTGCCGGAACTACTTAGGTGATTACTGTATATGATCTGGGTGGTTAAGGGTCTTTGTATCCAGTTTAATATAAAAGAACTTATGAAAAATAATTTATTTATTTAGGACAGCCAAAGACTATATTGTATGCAGTGGTCCTGATTACCTCAGAAAATTACATAAAATACAATTATAAATGAAAATATGTAAATTAGATGTAAAGAATAACATACTGTATATATTATAGGAGAGCAGTGAAGTTAAGCTATCAATACAGTCAAGCTGTATTTGAGGATATATCAACAAATTTAAAAAAATCAGTTAGGTTTCTTCTGCAATGAATTGGACATTAAACCAACCAACGATTAGTAGATTATTAAATTTATCCATGCATTAGGGATACTTCGGACACCTTTGGCATGACGGTCAATAACATAACAATACAGTAAATCAGGGTATCAGTATTATAAGCAAAACAACCTTTTTAAAATATCACTCCAGCCAAGGCCAACAAAACAAACCTTCTGATTACCTTATGAAAACATGTTACACAAGAAAAGGAGGAGTCACTTGATAACAACCTAATTTGCTATTGAAATTCAAGGCCATTTTTGTATCTCATGTACTACAGTTACAACATATTATTGATTCTTATTATTTATGATATCTATTTGTATATTTGTGCCTAATTATATTCATGCATTGAGTGGTTGTAATGTGATTACAGTTTGCAAAATGTATTATGTATGATTTAGGTTACTGTTACTGGGCAATTATAATGCGCCTTTCCTTTCGGTTGCAAAGCGCAAGCCAAGTGTCTTCCAAATTTCAATTTATCTGAAGCAATCAATCTACATCAGTTCCAGAAAAAACTATCTCATACCACACAGAAATACAGTCTATAGATAAACAACAGCAAAAAAGACAACAAAAGACACAGACAGAAACAGTGACAAGTGAAAAAGATGAGTTTTAAGTGATCTTTTAAAAATATTAACATTAAAAAATGTTCTTAATATCATGAGGTTGTGCTACAATTCATGATATAATTTCTGTGAGTGTACAGCATGTATTATTGGAATGAATAATATTTTGCTGGAATACTGAATTTTGCAACATAATTATGCTTGTTACCTACTCAGGAGTAAAAGTGGGGATCTAATATTAATACAGTAGGTGTACAATTGTCAATGCACTAATCATTAGCTGCAACATTATGAAATAATTCCCTAGTGATCAGAGTGTGTGTTGCATAAAGAATCTGATCTAATTATGTGGTAATAATGTAAAGTGCATAGAAACATAACTAATGTGTTAATACCCCAATGATATAAGGTTGCCGGAGCAGTATGCGTCCAATTAACAATTAATGTCTTACAAAGTGTTGAATTACTAACAGAATGATGTTGATGATCAGGTTTTTGTGAAAGTAATTTTAATTTTTTTTATTTTTTAAAAATAAAGTAATACAATTTTTGGATCTGTAATAAATTATAAACTTGAATGTTTATGAATATTAAAACTGTATGTTTATCAAAATGTATATGCAGTAAAAGCATCAACTAACTGCCCACTATGTTTGGAGAGCCACTTTGGCAGTGGTTCATTTCACTTTCTGGTTGTCCTTTCTTTTGGATATAATCAAAGAGAATAGAACTAAAACAGGTATGACTGGTCCGATTTTGTATTTTGTATGCATGCAATGGAACGTTAAAATAAGTACTGCCACGAGATGGGGGTACCCTATTAGAATTAAAATAGAGTCCACTTGAAACTAGTCTTTTAAGGATACGCCCCTTCATAGCAGTACTTTTTGAAATAGGATTACGTGGTTTCTAACGAAACCACGAGAGTCAGACCTCTTACAGTTCTATACTCTTTGATATAATCTAAATTTTATTGTATATATACTGTTTTAAAAAGGAGGAATGAATAACGTTTTTGTGTTGTTTGTAAACTATAGAAAAGTAGCATTCCAAGGCAATGAAGATAGTGATAATGTGCAACATGAAGCTACTATAAGCGTCTCTTTTCAGTAGTCACAGACCACATCCATAGGCAACGCTGCAATTTATGTGTTATTCTCCCACCTACCTTTACCTTGTCTGTATAATAATAGCCTAATAATAATAATAATAATAATAATTTTGGATTATATAGCGCATTATGCTAGAGCCTCAATGCGTCTCAATAAAAATAAAAATGCTAGGAGAAATTTTAGAAAAGTACATGTATACGTATACGTACATGTGTATGTATGTACAGGTAAACAGCATTACGCCCACCCCCAACCTTTTAATGTAAAAATTTGTAGTGATAAAGATACAGTGTCTTGTCAGCTGACTTACTTTGGAACTTTGACACACAATCGTTTGATGAAATCTTTAGCTTCTTCTGAGATGTCTTCGAAAATATCTTCTGGAAATTCTAAATTAATTTGCGAGATGTTGAGTAGAGTTTCTTGCTTTGAATCGCCTAAAAACGGTGAAATGCCAGTGAGCATGACATACGTCAGCACGCCCACGCTCCAAATATCACTCGCCAAGGTGATGGGGTCGTAGTTGATTACCTCCGGAGCTGTAAGACACGAGAATTCAAATATTGTATTAATTAATCAAAATACAATTAATCCAATTACATTGTGTTTAATACTTTGGACACAATGTAACACAATTTTTACTTTGTATATAAGTAAATTAATAATATAACGAAATCAAAACAATAAAATATTTTCTTTAACCACAACAGAAGCTAAATAATGCTGTTCCTAAATTAAACATATTGCTAGACATTAATTTGGCTAGTAATAAATTTTAGGAGTCTCACAGGTTTCTAATAATTTATCCTTCTACAAAGCTTTGTAATGGTTTAATCGATTTTTTGTGGATTTCCCAGACAATTAGACAATCTTTAGTAAATCCATCAGCTGGTACTTGTGTTAATTTACCAAAAAAAAAAAAAAGATTTCTCTATTATTGACGATGACAGGGAACAGCCTTAATTGAAATTCCTACCCATTATGCTGCAGAGCAAATTTGATATTTATTAACATTTGCAGACCAACTTACCCACATAATCCAGTGTGCCGACAATGTCTCGTAGTTCGGTTTCGCCATTAATGAAACGTGCAATGCCGTAGTCAATCAACTTAATATTACTTGATGTTCTAGCACTTATATGCTCGGTTAATAGAATATTTTGAGGCTGAAATTATACAGAAAATAATTTAAAATTAATTATTATTATCAATTATCTTATATCTTAAATAGAATTAATGATAAGCCAATTCTAATGTTAATCTGATGTGATGTGAGATCTGTCGTAATATATAAAATATACAGGTGCCTACACGCATGAATAAATTATATTGGAAGCAAGATCGTTTATGCAAACAAATTAGGGATCTACTCTCGCATATCAAATCTCTACTAACTGTATGTTCTGTAATGTACTGTATTATAGGAAGTGGTTGATCATACCAGAATCATTTCAATGTTTTATGTATGTTATCATAAGGTGTTGCATGCTAAAGCTGCTGTTGATGATGTTAATGATTGTAATGTTCAACTGATGCAGATTAAAATGACGATTAATAAAATGCTGAAGATGTGATGCAAGTTCTACTCGACCACCACTGAAAGTTTCTGAAGGGGAAAAAAAAATGTTGTTAAAAATCACTTCATACCACCTCTTATTTTACCAGCTAGTGCCCATAATTTATCATTTATTTTATTAAATTTATCTCCCACTTATACTATACTGGAAACAACTAGAGAGGGCAGCCCAGGACCGAGGAATCTGGCATACTGTTATTAGCAGCCTATGCTCCGGGAGGAGTGACGGGCATAAGTAAGTATACTATACTCATTAAAAATGAGCAATTAAATATCCTAATCAATATAAATAAAGAGATTTGCCAAAAAAGTTCATCTATACTCAAGTTAATCGCCATTGCAAGAAAACCTATCAATACTGGAAATGATACTAACTTGGCAAATTCACATTACATACATTTTTGAAAGGAGTCTGAATAAAGAATGGACAAGTTACAAAAAAAAAACCCCTCCTCTGCACCCCTTAAATATTAAAAGGCAACATCAAACCAATCATAACAGATTAATCAGAAGTATATAATAAATATATGGAACATTTAAGTAAATGTTTCATATGAAATATTTAAGTTAATAATTCTAAATATATACACTTATTAAGGAGGTCAATACGAGAATAGCCATTGCTTAAATCACATCATTTGTCACACAAAGCAGACTATGCAATTTATCAAAATAAATGTTAAAGGAATGAACATCAATACTGCAGGCAATTGGAGTGAGCAGACCTTTGGTTCTTGGTTTGGGGTTTGGTTTTGGTTCTTGGTTCTTATTTCTAAATGTCAATAAGCAAGGTATTCAAGAAATCACAAAATTCTAATTTATTACTGAAAGTGACAAAACAATCAGAGGGAAAAGATGAATACAGTAATGTACAAACCCACACATTTTCCCTTAATATCAAGACACAAACTAATCTTTAAAACAAAATCCACATACCCACACATGTATAAACTGAAGATAATTAATTTGCACTTAACCATTTGTTGGTAGAGTATTAAAAATTAACTATAGAAAATATATAATGTTCATAAAAAAAATATATAGAACTTTCTATACAATGTATATAACTAAAACCAAATTTTCTGTCACTTTTCTGTCAATACTGTATTATCAGCTTCAAATTCCCTCTAACCCAAAAGACTAAAAAAAAAAGAGAAAAGATAATTGTTATTGTGATCATCATTTTTTTCATTTTATAGAGAGCACATACACCATTGACCCCTCACCCAGCATGTTTAATACTCCTGCTATCCTGTATAAGTGAATAAAATATATCAAAAGCAAGAACATTTATGCAAACATATTAGAAATCTAGTCCCACATATCAGAAGTCTTCTAGAACTATGTACAACATAGGAAGCTATTGTGAAATAAACAAATAATGAAAAAATTTATACCCCATTTTTTTTTGTTTATGAAAGATCGTCGTGCAAACCGTGAAATGATTCCAGAAAAGATGCAATTTAATGAATAGACAACATTACAGGGAAACGAGTAGGACTAAGAAAAGGACAGGGAGAGGTGGAGAAGAATGCTAGCACCATGACAGATGGAACTGTACCTGAGAGCTCATGTGTTTTGTGCAGAAGTTAAGTCATCAAAATACGTAGCCAACAGGAAACATTAGTACATAAACTGTTATACAACAAGCAAATTTGGCTCCAACAACAACACAAATAAATTATACAATAATAAACAACTCAATATTCCACGATAATTTGACAGTTAATAGACCCATTCGTTTTATACTGAAGATAAAAGGTAAGGACAAACTATGTCGATGAAAACAGATCAAATTTCAAAAGTACAAGTCTAAAGTTTGGGACTTAAAATGCCTGAGTACCTACTGTCAAAGTATGGATTTTTCAGTCAATTACTTCATAATTACAAGATACGATATGATAACCCTTCCATTGAGAAGTGGGCGAGGTGAGGCTTCAAGTATGCAAAGTTGTTGTTACCTTTACGATAGAGTACACAAGAGGATTTTATAGGTAGAAATCAGGTATAACTGAAAAAACTATTATGCAACATTTGTATTGATTACTACAGGTAAAAATATTTTCTTTTTTACTTCCTTATTTAAGGTTACTACTAGGCTTCAAATGTAAAATGGAGTGAAAAACAAATACTTTTCTTGCCAAAAGTCTGTAAGTATAAAATCATCTAAAATTTAAAGTCAATGTATCTTATCTGATCCTTCACTTGTACTAATTTTAAGTTATGCATGTAAAATTTAAATTTCTTCTCTTTTTTTCCCTCTTTCCTCAAACTAACTTGAATGATCTAAAGTGAATATTGTGGTTCATCTGAAACTTACCAGGTTTTAAATTTCATAATTAATTAAAAACTACTTTTAATTATAAATTTCATGGTTTATCTGTAAGATTGTGAGAAAGCTGATTTCAGTCTTAGACACAACCAATTGGATATCTTAATTAGCAAGGTGTATTTTTAACATCTTTGTAGGAATGTAGGTCGGCATCACTCAGCCAGCTTCCTCATCCAACTGCTGGTCACGTTGCTGGCACATTCATGTACCGGAGATATCATATATCCCATTAGAATCTAAATTCATGCATTTCCGCTTGATGGTAAATACCGATAAAGCAATTTTTCTTATTTTTGCTGCTCACCAAAGCCAGGAAGCAGTTCTTAAGTTTGCTACACGATACTTTGGAACGAAATTGAGTTCACTATCTCATGAACTTTCAGAAATGAGGACAGTATTTAGAAGATGGATACCATGACAACCGATATGGTTTATGAATACGAAAAATGTAAACTGTCTCATTATGAACTGCAAGTTGTCACTGCAAATTATAATAACATGTGCAATGTTGTAGCTAAGGGGGTGTCAAATACTAAAGTCCAAAGGTAATGACTGGGAGGGGGGGGAGGCCATCTCAATCTTATTCATTGAAATTGATTATTACTAAAAAGAATTCAATCATACTTAAGAATGTGAAATAAACAGCGTTAGGTTTTATTAATAGACATTTAAAATAAAACTATTAAGCTATAATCATGGAATCAAAGAAATATCCACAATATAGTACAACAAAGTGCATAGAGTTTTGGCATTAATGCACTAAAAACTAGCACATATACTTTAAATAAGATACAGTTGAAATTAGAATGCAGATGCTTATACAAGGGTTAATTAAATTAAATAACATTTTAAAAATATATTGGTATTATAGTAAATTACATTAAACTTATATAACATATAATACATATAATAAAATATTATAATTGAATAGGAAAATACATAATAGGCAAAAAATGGGTCTTTCACATTGGTTACTCTATAGTACAGATGATGCAGCTGCTAAGGAGATAAAATCCCAGACACGTGCTACAGGTAGGCACAGCTGGTTACTGTGGTGTACAAGTGGTTGTTATGCGGTCACAAGGGGAAAGACTAAGAAAGAGAAGTGTAAAGTATGTTCCAATAATAACAGACACACATTCTTGACCTTAATAGATGTTGAGAATTCCATTAAATAATTGAAAGGAAAGGTGGCTCACTTTCAACAGCGAATCTTAATTAACCCGAGCCCTTAACTCGAAAAACCATTCGCCAAACTTTGTAGGAAGTTCCAGGGAGATGACATTCCTCTCAGCTTGTGCCCATGGTATTATCACGTTAGGAATGTGGCTTTAGTAAAATGACTCCGGAATCAACAAAGACCTGTCTAGATTTCAATAGGTAAATCCTTAATCCTAATCACCTATAAACAATGCTAATTGATCAACTATCGATCAGTTATATTTACTCTTACTGTTGGAATGCTGGAATGGGGTAATACGTGCTAAACAAAACACCAGGAACGAGGGTGTCCTAAAATCAAGCTTTGTTGATGATAATTGGCAAGACAACACGGTATGTTAATCCAGGGCTTTGGTTCGAGCCCTAGGGACAAAACATTATTTAGTAGCCCATAATTGTATTCTAGATTTTAGTATAGTGCATTGGAAGTTTTCAAGATTTTAGCAATGTAATTTGGTACAGTAGTTGGTGACATGGCCAGCAGTGCAAAATTAATAAATACAGACACTTTGATTTTAAATGTCCATAAATTTACTTTATAGTTACTGGCAACTATAAAGCAAATAATATGGTCTACTTATAAAGCCCTATAAAACAAAATTTATATACAGTAATAATTATATTATAGTACGATAAACTACTACACACCAAGGCATTCAACTGCACTTGGCAGCAGACAGCACCTGAGTAACATTGCATGACAGTAAATACATAATAACTTCTATTCCACTTGTTTACAAAAATATATAATTTATTGCAACATAATATAATATTTTCCCCCCCATTCAATGAGGACAGTTTACATAACAGATGTCAAAATATTGTTTTGAATTATAACTTTTCATCTCCACCTAGGCATTTTACGGAAGAGCAATTTTGGTATGCCACTTTGGTAAACAAATAAGCAAAGCCAAAGAGGGTATAGTTGTTTCATACGCTATGCCTCAGTAAATATTGTTTGTTGATGCTAAACTTCTATGATATATTTTTGCCCTTCTCAGAATATAGATTTAGGGTTAGAGTAATAGACAATTTTA